GCGGTCAGCGAAAACATCAAAGCAAGAAATATATCTATTTGTTCCGCCTTAATTCGATTGTTGTTTGCGCATTGTAAGGGTTTATTGCCCTTATTCCCGGTTTTATTGTACACAGTTTCTGAGATAGCTCGGGTAAAATTCAGACCAAGCCCTCACTTGGTTCACTTTTAGTTTTTGACTCGGTTCAGCTAGTAGGGATAAGCGAGCCAACCGCATATCTTCAGCTCTACCATATTAATATTGTCCGTAATTTTTTACTTAGTTAAGTTAAAAATTCTGCCTTCATGAGGATACATTTTGGACATCTTGTCTGTTTAAAGAAAATGCATTTTGGGCAAGTAATAATTATTTGGCATGACTGCAGACTGTTGATTCTTGGTCATTTAATGCCTACAGTTGTACAGCGCCCGTTGCATTTACCGATTTCTCTTCATCCCATTTTTCAGCCGCTTGCAATAGCTCGGTCTTCTTTCAAGAAAAGGGGCGCAAGCTTCACCGAGTTTGCTATCATAATGCGTTGTGTTCGTGAAGATGAAACTTCGTCGGTAAGATAATTTTTATTTGAAATTCCCGCTAAATTATTGACCTCCATCCATTCCAAAATTGGTTCCTTATTCTTTGGCCAAATCAAAATGTGCAGTAGTCCTAATCGAGTATAAAAAACCGATATTTGATTACCAAAGCATCCTTGCTACCGCAACCACATTTATTTGAAGAGGTCTTCAGTAACAACCCCATAGGTCACTCCAAAAATCTAAAGCGTACTACCTAGCAATCATTAAGCGGCTTGCGAGTTAAATTCGGTGTATCGTAAATCTAAGTAGCGGGGTATTCACATGCCAGAGTAAGTGCACTCGCACCTAGACAGCGGTAGACACAATCAGGCAGAAAGTCAATCTTCTCCTATTCCATTGCAAAACTGCTTCAAATGACTTGAAGTACGATTTCGTATAGCAGCTAACCGACTATTTTATCCTCGATTACGCATAGAGAAAACATTTTACTTTGCTAACACAAACGACCCAACTATAGTAGGCCATTTTTTAGTTGACACCATAATGTGGCCAATTTTGAAGACCAGAGGAATTAAGGCGTTACGTTTGTAAAAATACTTGCGGTAATTGAAACGCAAAAAGAGAACTGGCAGTGTCAAGGACGTAAGCATCCCTATTATAACATACTACATCGGCAAAAGTCATGAAAAGCTTACTATTCTTAATGTATTGGATGTTTCCATTTGCACTTCCTTTCTTTCGCGACGGCTCACACGCAACTCTGCGGTGAAACTGAATCCCCCAGATATGTACGGAGAAAAGGAGGCTGTACTTAGGTGGGGCAATATCGAAGCAGCTTTTGCCCAACAATAAGGTAGGGGAAATGCTTCGTCTTCAGGTTCCATGCTGACAGCGAAAATGCGTCTCCTAAGCAGAGTAAGAGAGAGGAAGTTACATTTACCTGGAGGGGAATACTTGTCGTTTGAATTT